ACGAAATATTTATACTTGCATTTATACTCCATTTAGTGCGAAGCGTGCCCTGCCCGAACATGAAAAAATGAACTGAAAAAAAACAGCGGAATTGAAAAGTTAAAGACCATTTAGACTAAGAAGTATTCTTTGGACCACGAATAAAAGCACACAATCACCTAACATACCCTGGAAAAAACTTGACAATTCTATGTAGGCTATTTTCGGGTTTGGATAATTGCACACGCCCAATTTTGTGAGTAGAAGTTTTTGATAAAGATTAGGATAACGAAACATACGGAAAAGCGACGTTTTCATTCTGCCAATACAACCGTGCATTTACTGCTACAACAGCGCTTTTGGTCGGTTTAAAAGAAATACCCCTGTTATCTGTGTAACACAAGCGGCTTGTTAAAAACGAGAGGAGCGTTTTATAAAGACGCTATTTAGTTCCCAACGAAAATAATGTTTTACCCCCTTTCTTCTGCGACGTTTAGACTACAAAAGTATAGAAGTTCAATTTTATCTACCTTAAAATAAAGGAAAAGGAAGACAAACCTAAAAAACACGGAACAAACTCACCCAGCTCCCTTCTCTCTCGCAGAACCTGGCGGACAGGTGTGCGGGGCGTGGCCTGCGAGAGATGTCATTCGAGTGGGCGTGGTTACAGACTGCCGGTGCGAGGCGGGTTTTTTTTTTCTTGGCTCCGCGTGAAAACGTGGAAAAAAAATCGAACATGTTTTCAGAATCTCCCATGAGTTACAAGTTTCAAAATCTTTAAATACGTAAGCAAGCTGAGTGGTCTAAAGTTCTCGGCAGGACACGTACTGTTCTAGAACCTGATTTACCTTATCGCTGTGCAAAGAAGTCAGATTTTTCATCAATAAACGTTTATCACGCGATCAGTTTACTACCTTATCAGTCATGCCAGTGATGTGTTCATTTAAATAATTACAAGAACATGAGGAGGTTCAAATGAGAGGACAGTATTGGATACACGTAGCCTTTTTGGTTACTGGTATCAATTTGATGCCACTGCTCAAAAGAACAAAGGCTGTTGGTTCTAACAAGCCTAAGTGGCGCCTTCTCCCACAACCCTTTGTGTAAATAACTTTTTAAAATACACTTCCCCGTGACATCCTTTCATATTTCCTTTGGTTTGTGTCAAAGTGCTTTACACTGTAATAGTGCAGGATGAGCTCCAGAGTCAAATCATATCCCACAGAGACTGCGAGAGGCTCAAGCGAGACTCTGGAAGCGGTTGAAAGCAGCAGGGAGGAAGAACTAACTCAGAGAAAGTTTCAAAGAGGCGTGCGTTGTCACGCGATAGGAGCTGGCACCAACAGGTATACCCCCCCGACACTCCAGACACACCCTCCAAGAGTGGTGATGATCAAGGCCCCCCTCATCGGGCCAAACAGGACACGTGGAGCACATACACCTACGCCAAGATGCCTGGGCCCCCCAGCTCGTGGACTCACGGGCCCAGAGTCTACAATTCGCCTACGTCTCCGTCCTCTCCGATCTCCTCCGAGATCATGCCTTAGGTTCCTCGCATGCCGAGCCCTTCACTCGTGGTTTCCCAAGCTCAGTGAGCTTCCCCTCGAGCTCTCACCCTCTGGCTAGTCCCTTTCAGGGAGGGAGCAACAGTGGAACGCCCTCGACTCAGCCAGTCTCGTGTGACCAGACCCACTCTACCTCCTTCTTTTGCCTAACTGGCAGGCCGACACGGCAACGACCAAGGCCGATGCTCTTCGAGACCCTCCTTGCACCTCAGTGACACTACTCGATCTCTCCAGAAGCCTCCCTGCTCCCAGATGATTCATGGAGCCTCCTGCTCCCTCACTGTAGCCACTGTGTCCTCTCATGACCAGCCAAGCTCTTGAACTTCCAGGTCCACCTCCAGCTGCTGACATCATCTCCTCACACCACCGGGCCGGGTCTCACACACCTCAGAGTCTCAGAGACTCAAGACAGCGTCTCAGTCTTACACTCAGACTCAACTCATCCATTAAACCCAGTCTCCAGGACCTCACTCTCAGGCTGAGACTTCACTCACTCACGTTGAAACCCACACAAGCTCTCAGAAGCCCCACTCTCATGTCCCTGGCTGGGCACATGCTCATCTTTCCTGTGCCCAGCCACCACTGCTAACTAACTAACTAACCCCACCTCCCAATGGAGATTTACCACTCTCTCTCACAGCAGACTTATTCACACTAAACAGGTTTCTATCTCTCTGAATAACCTCACCTTTCACACAGGATAATTCCCCCGAGAACAGCTGCTCTCACTTGCTCTCTTCCAGGATCCCTTTGATATTCTTCTCCACAGTTTCCTCCGACAGGTGCTCTCATGTCTCTCCCCTTACCAGGGTTTCTTAAACTGCAGCAGCTAGTCTGGATGCTAGGCAGGTCTCAGGACATCCAAACGTCAATACTGAGCGAAGGTGAATCAGTGACCCGGAAATATATAGCCCCAGAGAGAGAGACACCGGAAGGACAGCAAAGCACAGGAAACTAGAGACTGGACAGAGTAGGAGCGCCCTCTGGCTGTAGAGGGCTTACCACCGTGCCTCAGCCTGCATGTTAACAGGAGACCTGACGTCATGTCTCCTCTGGTCTGACATTAACTCAGGACTTACATC